TTATGAAGACTTAAGATTTCATTACTGCTTGCACAGACTTTCTGTTTGAAGATATGACGGATTAAAGATATCATGATTAGTCAAATAGTACCAGTTTTACAACAAATAATATGTAATATCCCGTCAGTTTATTAATATAAAGTATGTTTCAGTTCCGAGATAATAATGTTGTCGATTATTATTTCCGGAATTAATTATGTTCAGTCGAGATTACCGAAATTTATTTTCGACGTAACGTTCGGAATAATTTTGGTAATTAAGTATTATGTTTAATTGCTCGATAAATATTATCGAGCCTAATCATGCTTAGCATGCACGCAACAGGTAAGTACTAAGCCTAAGTCGTGCAATTAGTACTTAGCATTGCCTATTTTTCACGTCTAATTGGTGCATGGCTTAAGCACATGATGAGCACACTTTGATCATACTTAATTCAAGCTTAAGCCATAACTCACTCGTCCAAAAGAATTTCCGTATACATGAGTTAAGTTCACGTGAAAGGCCATCATGAGTGCTTAGCTAGGTGGCTTCTTGTTATGTGCCCAAGTGATGACTATGCAAGAATAAAGACACCTCAAGTCTTAGGTGCTTAGCAAGTGGCGCAAGGTGATTGGTTGAGGCCAATTTCACCCCTCTTCAAAATTTTGTACGGCTATTTGTTCATGGTGAAGGAGGAAAATATTACTTTGCTCCTATTTTATCATTCAACAAGTTTTTAAATAGATTTCATTATAATTAACACTAGCTAAGCGAGATTAAGAGAATTATAAGCCAAGTGAGCCCACAGCAACTGCATATGCGCACGGTGCCGTCAAGGCCAAGTAAATAAGCAAAATTTCGTGTTAACCAATTCAGAGTTCGAGAGGTAATGTCCTCATCGTCTTCTAGCCATGGTTGTATAGTCATTCTAAGTTCATCATGTTCAAGTAATATCAAGAGAATCATAGGTAGTCCAAGGCATGCTCGGTTCGGCCATGTTAGGCCGTAACCGTGTAACTTTCTTTTGGTCCGACAACTTTTGAGTGTTTAGTGTTCCTTTAGCTGTTATTAAGTCTTTCATGTTCAATTAAATCTTGATTGCTGAAGTAGTATGATAAGGTTTTGGTCGAGGGAGCCATGGTTTGGCCGAGGGATTGGCCTAAGCCGTCGGCTAAGCACATAGCGCAAGCCGCGGCCGTGTATGTCCGAGTATGTTAGGTTCAGGTCATTAGACTGTTTTATATATGGTTAATCATGTCATGTTAATTTAAGTTATTATATGTTGATATTGCCGAGAAGTGTTGTCGGACGGCCGATAAGGGTCGGCCGTGGCCGCCATGCCCGCACGCAGCGGGTAGTGCGCACCGGCAGGCCCGTAGTGTCCGCAGGCGACGTGCGTGGCCAAGTATCACGCATGGTCAGTCCGCAATACGCGGTAGTATACAGCAGGGCACGCCCGTGCACAGGTTCGCACGGCAATGGCCGTGGCAGTGCCTAATAGCCTGCCGAGGGGCCAGCGCCGCCGGTAGCGCACAGCAGCGCCCGCACGGTGTCCTGTCAGGTCCAGCCAGCACCGCAGGTGTCGTGCGATAGCGCCTGCGCAATGCCAGTCACAGGACTAATCGCTCACTACTGCAAAGGTCGCACGACAGCAACCGTGCGGCACCTGTTCATGCCAGTCGCGCCCATGTATGCGTCCGAGAGCCCAGTCAACCGCTGCGGTGTGCGGTAACGCTTGGCAGCAGTCAGCGACGCCCAATGCCAACGCACATAGCGTCTGGCATCACCGAGGCTCAGTCATGTACGTCTAGTAGTGCCCGACGGGCCTAACTCATGCCAGCCGTGACCTGGTGCACATAGCACCCGTAACCACGGCCAGGGCAGGCCCGGCAGCAACCATTCCGCGCCCAGCCCAGCCAACAATCACGCCACGGCCATGGCAAGGCCGTGGGCCGAGTCAGCCGCCAACCGCCCGGCCCCAG